TCGCTCTTGTATGACCATCGCCTGTTAGCGAGATCTTTAGATAATAATGTATTCTGAAGTAAACACACGCTTGCTTTGCGATAAGATCCAAATTTGTAATTTATTCTGGGATCGAGGGTGCCTCAGACTTTTACCAGCTCAATTATCGGCTGATGTGTATTTATTTCTGTAGAAACACAATACGGATATTCAAAATTCAAGGAAATGTATGCAACAGCTCATACAAATCAAAGGTTCTGCATGTAACTTTTGTACTAGTTCACAACGGTTTTTAAATCATCTATTTGAACACTTTAAAAAAGCACGATTGTAGTGTGATAATAAGTTTCTTAATTAGTTTTACCGTTGAGTGCTGCTCATTAACAAAATAGATTTAAGCAAGAAGCGGACAAGGTACGATACAGCCTAATTAGAAGTAAAGGGTGGTGACAGCTATAATGCCCTGAGTCTGGGTCTTATTGCTAGACCGTAGCTCAGGGGTTCTATACAATTGGCAAAGCCGGGTACGCCTGCTTTACCAAAAGCCGTTCAAAAGCGCTGGTTTGTTCAATACCTCATATACATTCCATACGATGTTTTCATTTGAAGGTAAAGTCTCTGGATCGAAATGCGTACTACAAAATGGAAAACAGCTGCAAATGGCAATCCGCAAGGAAGCTAGACAACTCGCTGACAGTGAACGATTCCAGATTGCAGTGAGTTTAAGGAAGTGAGAGTATGAACCTTTGAAAGTTCATGTCTTTTACGGGAAACAATTTTTTGCTGGAGTCCAAATTTGACATTCTTCTTGACATAATATAACATAATTTTTTGAAAATAATCTTGAGAGATATCTTGCAGGCTTTTTTCAACATACTTTGAATTATTCTGTTCATAACTTTTTTCCTTTATTTGCCGAACCCGCTCTCAAATTGAAGTTGAGATAGCTTTTTTTGAACTTTAATAGAATTCGTAATGTTTCTATAGAAGGATGCGAGCACAGGTCCTGTAGATCGTCTGGTTTTACCATTACATTTACAGATTGCGTTCAATAAAATGAAAACAGCTGGTGTTTATGATCGCATTGGCTTTGTTCACAAATACAGCGGACTCCATGAGGGGCCAGGATTTTTTACTTGGCACAGAGAGTACCTTAAAAGGTGGGGGTTTGTAAAATTGTTGCTAGACTTACAGAACACTAATGTAGGTATCATTTGGTAGATTCGAGCTTGTATTTCGTCGTTACTTGCCAGCTGGCAGCCGACTTGGACTACCTTATTGGGACAGCGCTCTAGAGGTAAACTCTTCCATTCTGAAAATGTTTTAGTTACGGTTATCAATTAAGTCTGAGCTTCCTGATCCACGTGAGTCGCTCTTCTTTTCGACACTATTTGTTGGTTCTTCCAATTCTACTGGGCAGATTGTGGATGGCCCATTCTCTGATTGGTTCAATATGGAAGTAAGTATTGATCACTTTTTGTTAATGGAATTCTGCTAGCTCTGGAGTTAAACCATTTTCAAGGGAGATCACAAGCTTCTTCGTTTCATGCCAAACCAAAGTAATGGTGAGGTACTGAACAATGCGAGGATCGATATAGTGCTCGAGCAGAATAAAATCGAACAAATTCTGGCTGCAGTTTTAGCTTTGGATGTAAGTCTGTTAGTGCCATCTCGCTCATCCTGAGTGTAGATAGCATTTGATGACTGTTACAACTAACCATTGACTGATTATTACTTAATTTCTGGAATTTTTATTTCCACATAATCGTTGATTGATATCTAAATTTTACAGACGTGCAAAATCGCTATTAATGACGAGCGGTTACTGTCATACTCGCACGATTATGTACACTATTTCATCAATGGTGACATGCGCGAAACGTACTCATCGAGCAGTGATGTAATCATTCTTGATCATTCGTAACCTGTATTCATTCTATTTGATACCATTTCAGCCTATATTCTTCTATCATCATACCATGATGGACCACATTTGGGAGATGTGGCGACAACGACACCAGGTGTGTCTAATTGAGTTTGATCTGTTAGATTGAAATGGATTACTTATTGTCGCAATAGCGCGGCACGCTAATGCAATGCGAGATTAGCACTTACGCGAAAGTAACACATTCCAACGGAAACAGATTATATAATTTATCGTTTTAAATTCTGAAAATGAGACCTACAACTGATTTCAATGCTCTGCGTACATGTCGCAAACTGGATTTAGTGATCATACTAGACTCCTTAAATAGAGTATGCAAATTTTGCATCAGAAAATATCCACACTGTTTTGAAGAGTGTTAGTCAGTCACTCAGCACCAATGACGTTATTGATCCCAGCAAACTTTGAGATGTACTGTAGACTCGCAGAGAACGAGAAGAACAATATCCGCCATCATATCCTGATTGCTATCCGCCAACACACTTCATCAATGCCTCTATGAAGGTAAACATACTTGGTTAGTTATAAACCATATGATACTACTAAGTGGTTTAGGAACTCGAACCTTACACAAATAAAGACGCACTATCAAACAAGTACACTGATAATATGTATACATACACGAAGAGGCCTAGCTGTTCGGAAAAAGATAAAAATTGCGGATCGAAGTAAGATCTTTAAGAAGCGAGTATCCGTGTATTCACACCCTTTTCAGGTACCTCTTCTGCCACAAAGTTGAAGGTTTTTATCAGTGTATAGCGAAACTACGAGAAGGTGCAGACTGCAGTGGTTTTGAGCAAACGCCCATTTGCTATGAAGGCATTTGCCGAGAAGGCCGTTGTGCGCGAAATGATCTTGACATTGGGCCGGATCCTAAGGGTTACATGTGAAAACTGTGAGTTCAGAGCATACATAATCTAAGTTTGTGAGCAAATTTTTGTCAAATGATTCAGCTGGTGGTTAATCACAGCAGTTGTGAAATTCTAATTACCATCTGATTAAAAAACCATAAGTTTTAAACCTTCTTTTGACTCCAATTAAGTCTCTCTTCCGTTCACAGTACCTTTTTCTAAGATGCGTATCCTTGATGAACTGTTCTCCTTCTTTTGGTAAGCCGGTTTTCGTGTAATTTCCTTATAAAAGATTCTACCCTCTTCCCCCTCCTTTTCTCAGATAACTATTGACAGTCAGCACATTACAGAAAACAAGCATAAGAGTGGCGTTTCATGGAACCGATAGACAATTGACCCAATCTTTAGGTTTTTCATACCTAATTGTCCATCTGTAAGGAAATTTATGAGCTTTTATAGTAAACCATTATTGGCGAGAAAACTGAGCTAAACAGTAACTGTCGGAGGTTTTAGGACGACATTATCTTTCCCCAACAGTTTTTTCCACTTTTTTTTT